TAATTTCAAAATCTCCTATCTTTCTCTCTCATCTCCCCATTTTTTGCCAAGCTCCTCCTCCAGTGAACTTCGTTGAACTCAAGGACCGGGTTCAACTCTATCCTAGCAATCAAAATCCCATAGCCATGGTTTTAGAATTTCAAAAAAGAAAAAAAAAAAAAAACTAAACCCTAACTGTTTGGTAAAATTGAATCCCAACTGATAGAAATTCTAAATTTCCAGTTAATCTTTGCAAGGGATGAAGATTTGGAAGACAAAGGATGGAGATTTGGAAGAAAGAATTTGGATTTAGATGAACCCAAAATAAAAAAAAAAAAAATTGCAAAAACATGAAGAGAAGTGGAAAGAAGGAGAGACGCCTCTCACCATAGATTCTTGCCATAAATTCAACCCCTTTTTTTCGACTTTCTTGTCATTATTCTAAATAATAATAATAATAAAGAGACTTAAAAGAAGAAATTTTTGAGATCTACAATTTTTTTATGTGCAAGACGGTAGAAGAAATATGTCTCCATTTTCAATGATATAAAAAATAAAGTATTTGTTATTATATTGTTTAATTGTATTAAATTGTAAAATAAATATTATTAAATGTGAAAGCCCACTTGCACAAGAAATATGTCTCCGTTTTTTATGATACAAAAAATAAAATATTTATTATTTTATAATTTAAACTGTATATTGTAAAATAAAAATTATTAAATGTAAGAGGCCTTGTGCACAAAAATGTGTCTCTATTTCTAATGATACAAAAAATAAAAATTTATTATTTTATAATTCAATACAATCTATACTACAAAACACTCTTTTTAAAAAATAAATTCCCTACTATTTCCACAAGGAAAAAGTTTTTTTTTATCCACTCCCACTTCAATTTAGAAGATGCTTACAACATTCTTCTACACTTTTCCTAAAATTTATTGTTGGCAAGAACTAGTGTTAAGTCTCTATGCTTTTCACATTTTCTCACAACAGTAACATATAGAGAAAGAAAATTTAGGACAAAAATTTAGAACTAATAACATAGTATAAATCACATCATTAAATTAATTAATTGATGAATAAAATATCACAGGTTTTAAAAAAATAAAAAAGTTAATAATTAAATAATATATAATTTATTTTTTAATATTTTAAATAATGTGACTTATACCACATCATCGGTCTCAAATTTTCGCACTACCTTCAAGTTCTATAACCTAAGCTCCACCTCCACGAGCATCATGCTAGCATTCAACACCAAATTTGAACCTTTTTAATTCAAATGAAAACACCAATAATTTAAGTAGTTTAGTAGTTATTTCTTTTCATTGAAAGTAAGAGGTCCTGAGTTTCAGTCGCATGACATGCGGGTGAGATATGATAAAGAATAAGAGATAGTTACCTCTCATTGTGCAATAAAAAAAAAATTCAAATGAAAACATAACCGGAAGTCATAAATCGATCATTATTGGTACTTCATATGGAAGCAATATCTTTCTGTATTTTTTATCGACAATAAGGAAGGAATATCTATTACTTAATATCAAGATCTTGTGTTATGTATCATACATTTAATTGCTCTTTTCCTTTATTAGAGGGATATTTAAAAAAAGAAAAAGAAAAGTGGTATTTTATTAAAATAAAATAATTTTAAGTATTTTTTCTTCTAATTTTTACAAGTCTACAAATAAACAATAATCTGCATTTTGTGTTTGAAAATATAAAAGTTAATTTTATTTTTAACATCATTAACACATGTATGATTTTAATTGAATGGTTGATAAAATTGAAGTTTTCTTCTTTTTTTTTTCTCTTTTTCTATAATATTAATAAGGATAGTGATTTGTATATATTTTGATTCAATATACTCTACAACACATTTATTGAAAATTATTATTTTATAATATAAAATTAAAGGTAGACAAACTTAAATATGTAATCATGCATCCAAAATACAAAAACTAATTGAACTAGCGTATTTATATTATATTTTAATAGTTTAACCAAGACAAGTGTTGAAAAGTATATTAAATCAAGTGTGTACCAATTATATTCTTATAATAATTATTGAGAAAAAGTGTAGTTAATATACATGACAATGATTGATATATATTCCAGTTCAATATACTATATAACATATTAATTAAAAAATTATTATTTATTGATTTAAAATTAAAGACAAATAAATTTAAAGATGCAATCATACATATAAAATGTAAAAACAAATTGAATTAATTGTATTTATATTATTTTTTAATAATTTAAGCAAAACAAATATCAAAAAGTATGTTAAGTCAAGTTTGAATTTTCCTAATATACACTCTTAATCTATGCCTTAAAAAAAAATCCTATATTTTATAACAAATCTTGATTGCTTGATTTCTTTCCATGTAAAGCAGTAGACTAGGGCTGTGGTGCTTGTACATAAAATCCGACATTAAAAGTTTTAAGGTTGCATTGTCTCCCCGTCTCTCCTTCCCCCATATTCGAATTGATGCTCTCAAAGCTCAAGATCCCCGATGGAATCCAAGAGATGGTGTTTTCAAGGCAACCAAGATTTGCAGAAAGCTTCGGCAATCACCATTGGGGGAGTTCTTGCCATGCTCCGTGGGAATCTCAACAAAGATGATCCCAGACCTCTGATACCTCTCGGTCATGGTGATCCTTCGTGTTTCCCATCCTTCAGGACTGCCGCTGCAGCAGTAGATGCCATTGTCACTGCCTTGCAATCTCATGAGTACAACTCTTATGCTCCAATTGTTGGCGTTCTTCCTGCTAGGAGGTTAGTTTCTGTTTTTTTATCTATCATGAAAGATTACTTGATGAGGCATTAAACATCTCGTCAACAGAAGTGCCAGGGATACCTCAACCTATTACATCTCATATTTTTTCTAATCTAGTCTGGTTTTCCTATAATAGGGCTATTGCAGACCATCTGAATCGGGAGCTTCCCTACAAGTTGTCGCCAGATGATGTTTATCTAACAGTCGGATGCAGACAAGCCATAGAAATATCATTAGCAGCACTTAATCGTCCTGGTGCCAATATTTTGCTTCCTAGACCAGGCTTCCCAACCTATGAAGCTTATGCTGCTAGTAAAAATCTTGAAGTTCGTCATTTCGATCTTCTTCCTGATAAGGACTGGGAGGTTGATCTTGATGGTATTGAAGCTCTTGCTGATGAAAACACTGTTGCCATGGTAATCATAAATCCTGGTAATCCTTGTGGTAATGTCTTCAGCTATCACCATTTGAAAAAGGTCAGTCGAACTACAATATTCTAGTACCTTATTACATATAAGTCCAGATGTTAATTTCCTCGGTTCAGGACTTTCCCGCCTAACATATTTGAAAGCAACATTAATTGATTTTCTGAATGTTAGGTTGCAGACACAGCAAGGAAGCTGGGGATTCTGGTGATTGCGGATGAAGTTTATGACCATCTTACATTTGGGAGCACCCCATTTGTGCCAATGGGAGTATTTGGGTCAATTGTGCCTGTTCTCACCCTTGGGGCTATATCAAAAAGATGGCTTGTTCCTGGTTGGCGACTTGGGTGGATTGTCACAACAGATCCCAATGGAATCCTCAACCAAACTGGGGTTGGCTACTCTCACTCACTCTATATACTTATCTGGATTAACATCTCTATCAAGACATATAATATTCGACCTTATGGTACAAATGCTATTGGTTCTTATCAGGTCGTTAAATCAATTACTAGCATCCTCAACATCTCACAATATCCAGCAACATTCATTCAGGTTTGTTATTCAAGATGCCTTTTCTGTATTCAGAAACGGTGCAACGTTTTTTTCAAGCACAGCAGAAGAAATATTCTTTGCAGTTCAGTCCAGACTGAATTTGACTAAAATGTGGATGTTACCTTAAGTTTCTAAGGATGCTTCAAAAGAAATTTTTATCATTTTTTATTTTGACTGAAATTTATTTGTCAATCTGGACTGAAAAGAAGAAATAACATTTAAAATGGTTTCTTCATTATTGATTAAAGCAGAAAATGAATAGATATGAAACCTCAAATTGATTCCCCAGTATATGCTACCTCTTGAGAATAAATCTAAATATGTTTTATTGTTTCAGGGAGCAGTTCCCCGAATCATTGAGAATACAAAGGAGGATTTCTTTACAAAGATTATTGGCATGCTAAGGGAGGCTGCTGACATATGCTGCAATACAATTGATGAGATACCCTGCATAAGTTGCCCAAAGAAACCAGAGGGAGGCATGTTTGTAGTGGTAAGGCAGTTATATTATTCATGATTTAAAATGATTTAACTCCCAACTTTTTGGGTTAAATTAATTAAACTATTCTTGTTTATCAACTTGTGTTACAGGTGAAGCTGAATTTAACGATGATGGAAGGGATTAATGATGATGTAGACTTCTGCATGAAGCTAGCCAATGAGGAAAATGTCCTTGTTTTACCGGGTACCACATGAAAACTCTTTCATGATTCTAGATCTAGCTAGGAACTCTAATCTCCATGAGGAAGTTTTATATTTCAAATAACCTATATCATACGGAAACTCATTCAGTCATAGTCTTATTTAATAATAACATCTTATAGTCTTATATTATAGTAATTGTGACTACTCTTTTTAATGAGTTGCAAGAATTAATCAACTAATTTAATGTTACATGGTTATTATAAGACTTCATTGTTGAGAGATAAGATATAGAGTAGGTGTAGCAATTACGTTGAATAACACTGCCAATTTGTTTTTAAAAAATTGATCATTTTGTTAAGATAATGTTGTATAATCTGTAGAGTAATTCAATATTTTTCAAGTGCTAAAGCTGATTTACTTTGTAATGCTCATGACATCTTGCAGGGGCAGCTGTTGGGATGAAGAACTATGTGCGGATTACTTTCGCGTGCGAGCTTTCTTCTCTTGAAGATGGCCTTACAAGGATAAAAGCCTTTTGCAAAAGGCATATCAAGATTAATCAATAATTAAAGATCTAATCTGAAATGGACGGTTGTGTTAGACCAATTTCATTATAGATTTCATGATTAAATTATTTTCGTCTTATTCTTGGACAGTGTGAGTAGCACTAATTAAATCCTTTTTCTTACATTATCAGCCGGTATTCCGATCCCTTTTGGACTCTTACATAAAAGGTTTATTATCGATATGAATTATGGGTAAACCACATGAATGGTCACCCATCTTTATCATAATTTTTGATTTAGTCACTCTCTTTTGAAATTTGTAAACTTAGTCACTTATTTTTAATTTAATTTTCATCCGTGCATCGCTTCGGTTAACTCATCAATTCCATCAATTTTTATGCTAACATGACACTAGAGGGTGGCCAACTCTATCATATATCTTACATGGTGCATGCATGAAAGACAATAATTTTTTTTTTTGTTGCATTAAAAAATTTTTAGGCAACGAAAAGAAAAATTACAAACTTTTTAAAATAGTATTTTACATGGCTTCTACATGAAAACAGTACATTTTTTTGTGTTGAAAATTTTCTTTTGAGCAGATAAAAAGGGAACTTGATCATACGTAACCTTATTGCCTTTTCCTTCAAAAATATAAACATGCAAAACAAGCCAATATGTTCAACTAACCACCAAAAAGTGCCCTATAATATAATTTTCAACAATAGAAAACACAATATCCATCAAATGAAAATTTTAAGGGTGAATTATATGGATGGTCACTCACTTTTATTATAGCTCTTTAGCTTAGTCATTTTCCTTTTAAATTTGTAAATTTAGTCACCTAACTTTCATTTAAGTTGTTACGGTTAATTACTCACGTGTGTTAACTATTTCCGTTAATTTTAACTAGCGACATGGCATCGGTAAGAAAAAAATAATTATCCGGTGCTTACATCAATTAAAATTTTATGGGTAATGATAGAGATAATTTTTTTGTATAATTTTTTTATACTACTTCTACCTATTATTAAATAAATATATATACTTAATATTACAAGTTTCAAATGAGTAAAAATAATCAATTATTTATATGTATACAGAAAAAACTCTTAGGTAATTAGCAGCAAATTCATAAAAAAGAAGAAAAAAAGGGTAATTAGCTGCAAAAAGTCGCCCCATCATCTAAGATTGTTAACCACTTTAACCCCATAAAAAAAAAAATTACAACTTAGAAATAGTTCTACAGTTTGGGCATTTGAAGTGGGAACTTTAAAGCTTCTCCACATCTTCCATTTTCCGTTAAGGCTCGTGAAAAAAAAAAACAATCAAATGCATATAAAGAAGAGAAACCAGGGCATGGGAAAGCATAGTATTGTTGCTTCAATGCATATAGAGAAGGTAAAGGTAAAAAAGAAAAAGTCAGAAGAATAATTGAATTTAGGAAAGGAATTTGGCATTTTGTAATAATCTTTAAGTAATTTAATGTAAGAAAACAAACATATCCTGTCTTCTTTTCTTTGTTCTTTGGATGATCTTTGTTATGGAGCTTTGATAGTTATGTTCCATAATTGAAAAAATTTACTACTTGATTTTATACATGTATAAATAAATAAATATATATATATTAGGAGAAAAACACTAAAAAATTGTCATTTCAATAAACTCTTAATTAAAAAGACTAAATTAACATATTTTTAAAGATGAATGAGACTATTTCAAAGTGTTTTTTCTCTCAAATTTTTAAAGATTTGGTTGATAAAAACTAATTATATATGAAAAAAATACTTATCCATCTTACCTCCTTATTTTTAGGATAAAAATCACTACAAAATTACATTATTTTA